GGCAAAATTTGTATAAAAATTGAGTGAAGATATCTTAGTAACTACCTAATCAAATTCGATGAAGTTTTTTTATTTTGGTTCTACGGTTCTGTAGAATTAAAATAAAAAAAAATTCATTGAATTTGGCTGGGTGGTTGTTGAGATATCATCGCTCAAAGTTTTGAAAACATTAAAACGTCTACAGTATCAAAATGATGATCGCGGCAAAATTTGTATAAAAATTGAGTGAAGATATCTTAGTAACTACCTAATCAAATTCGATGAAGTTTTTTTATTTTGATTCTACGGTTCTGTAGAATTAAAATAAAACAAAATTCATTGAATTTGGTTGTTGAGATATCATCGCTCAAAGTTTTGAAAACATTAAAACGTCTATCAAAATGATAGTCGCGGCAAAATTTTTATAAAACTTTGAGCAAGTTATCTCAGCAACCTCCCAGCCAAATTCGATGAATTTTTTTTTATTTTGATTCTACAGAATAGTCGAATCAAAATAAAAAAAATTTAGTTGGGCGATTATCTGGATATCTTTATTCATGTTCTTGAAAAAATTTAAATTCTATGGGAAATGATGCATCAAGAACACTACCTAAATTTAGGGTACTATCAAAAAAGTAACCGCAGATCTATCAAAAATGAAACTTTTGCGTCCGGAGACTGGTTTTGGATCAGTTCCGAGCTAGTCTCTAAAAAATCCGGTCCAGACCCGGTCCGAACCTATTTCCCGTAAACCACTTAACAGTTAACGTACGTACGTACGTATGTACATATGATTTGAGTGTCGCTAAAAGAAAACCCGACAATTTAAATATAAATCATATCTAAATTTTCGGGTTTTCTTTTAGCGACACTCATTTGATTTTAAAAATTTTTGGGGCCTTTTTTGTCAGCTTTTTTTTTATAATTAAGTTAGGATTTAGGATTAGAGTTATTAGTAAAAGAATATAGGTGGATTTTGGTAGAGCTTATATTTTACAATATTTATATCACTTAATTTTAATAATAATCATGTCAACCGTAACTTACTCGATTGGTTGCTAATCCATACCACTAGGGTGTTCAATCGACAAACATAGTCAGGGTACATAAAGTAGATTATTAATTTGAGATTTTCTAATGGGATTTGAAGATTATTTTTGATTATACTTCCTCTATGTATGAAAAATATGAAGAATAGAAAATTAATTCGCTTTTTTATCAACAATATACTAGTTGATTATGAGCTACTTTTATTTTATTCGAAAGTCTTATCATTTTCTTTCTTATAATCGATTTCTTTATATTTTATAATTTGATCAATAGTCAACTGGATTTTGTTTTATATTACTTCTTCTCTCCTTCAAAGGGAGAGAGATTTGTGGTTTATATAGTAAAATTTTCAAAAATTTTTTTTTCGAAAAAAAAATTTTTTTGAAGTGTATGATTTACAAGAAATTTTTTTGCAATCTAATTATATAATTATTAAAAAGAGCTCTATTACATAAAAGAGAATGATAAGAGCTTTCAAATAATAAAAAAAAAAAAAGTCGTTTAATATTAATTAGGTCATATTAATTAGGTCATTATTGAGAAAAAGTAATTTGAATTTTCGATTTTATGAAAGCGATGACGAAAAATCCAAAAAATCGAAAATTCAAGTGACTTTTTCTCAACAATGGCCTAATTAATATTAAACGGGGTTTTTTTTTTATTTGAAGCTCTTATTCTCTTTCATGTAATAGAGCCCTTTTTAATGATTTTATAATTATATTATAAAAAAATTTCTTGTAAATCTTTAAAAATATTATAAAAAAATTTCTTGTAAATCTTTAAAAATATTATAAAAAAATCTATTATAAGAAAGAAAATGAGAACTTTCGAATAAATTAAAAGTAGCTTACGATCAACGCGAATTAATTTTCTATTTTTCATATTTTTCATATGTAAAGGAAATACTGTATAATCAAAAAAAATTATCTCGAATCCCATGAGAAAATCCGAAATTTTTTGTGATCTACATTATGTCCCACATTAAAGAACGCGTCAAATCTACATTGCTACAAACCGATTTTCTCTATTACATGTGAAAAATGTCGCAAACAATTGCGAGTGACTCGTATCCTTTTATAGTTAAACGAATTGATTCAAACTTAGTCTAAAACTTATGAAATTGGTAATTGTATAGCCTGAAAACGTGTACGAGTCCTTAAAATTAACATGCCTTCATAGATTAGAAGGTTATGGTTCAAAGAGCGCAAATGTTCAAACGAAAAAGTTTTCCGAACGCGTCAATAAAGGAAAAATCGAAGAGACATTAAATTCACAATTAGCGTTGTTTGATAACTTAGATATCCCGAATACAAAAGAATTTAAAATAACAGTTTTACCTGATCAACAAATTGAGACATATCGATATATGGATCAATCGTTTAGAGAGAAATATGAAAGTAAGTCACTAATTATAATATCATAGTGATCCTTGTTAATAGTTAAACATTCTTGAATATAGTTTGAAAAAAATCCAGTTTTGTTAGAACGATTTGAAACGTTTGCAGAAACATTAAAAGATGAATGTAAGATCGATGAAATATCTGATCCGTCATCTTTAACGCAAGTATGTTTATAACTATATACAGATTCGCATTAAATGATCTTTCTTCGTATTAATGATTCATATTTTATATAATACATGTCAAGAATGAGATAATAACAGTAGGTAGAATTTGGTGTGATTCTGAAGGAAAGCTTAACACGGAATCTGTATTATTGGAAACGCTACCATATTTTGGAGGGAATTGGATTAAATTGTCATTGAATGAACTTTCAACATTCAGTTTATTTCCAGGACAGGTATTTTAAAGTAATTTTATTATTCAGTCATGAGAATTGAAACTAATATTTGTTTTATGAATTCAGATTTTAGGAATTCAAGGAAACAACAAAATGTATGATGAGCTTAATATAAATAAAATTCTTGAAGCCGAATTCATTGTGACCAAAATTTTCGAGGTAAATTTATTGTTTTTTATTATCATTAAAGTAGGTATAACACTTAAAATATTGATTTATGAATAAAGATGCCACTGTTACCAATGTATCGCACCCCGGCTAGTGAAATAATTGATCACAATAAAAATCTAAACGGATCCATGAATAGTACCCGGTAATAATCAATTAATAAAGTCAAGGTTTTGAATATGACACCGGGTACTATAAGCAGTGCTATACGGTACGTAGTTGTAACTTCAAGCACCTAAGGTTAAACCTGCCTGAAATTACTAACAAATGCATGCAATAATATCCTATTTTGGGAGATCGCTAAAGCCTTGTACCCCCGTGACTTTCGAAGTTTTAATTGTAATTAGGGTTAGGGTTAGTTTATTGTTAAGGTAAGGGCAGGTATATAGGTAAAATTCCCTTCCCGACATTTTTTATTAATATACCAAGACAGGTTTAGACTGCCGTTTTTTCATATTTTTTCGTTTTTTTTGATTTTTTGATTTCTTCGGGCTGATTGGTGATCTACATAGAAAAAGTCACATGGGTACAAGGCTTTAGCGACACATCTTTACAATGGAAATATTTCTGCGGCTAGAGACAATTCAAAACCGGTTCGAAATGTCCTGATAATCACATGATATAACTTGAGTGTCATTTTTGACATCGTTGAATTTTCCTAAAAACTATGGTAGGCTTGATTTAGAGTTAGCTTTGATAGAAATTAGTTGGGCAAAAATGATTGTCGACGACAATAAAAAAGAAAGAGTAGTAAAGTTCTAGAATTGTCGTGATATTATTCGAATAAGAATCGGTCATTAAAAATGAGTTACGTCAGTATGAAACATATGATGCGAGACAATGAACATCAGAAATTTGTATTATAGATGATACATATTCAAGAATATTTATTAATGATAACAATAAAATAAGTAATTAGGTTTAAACAACAATAGAATCATTATTATTATCATCAATTTGGACTTCGTCTTCATCAAAAATATTTGGATTATCATTATAAATAGATTCCCAGAAAATATCATTCAGATCTCTACTGTTGACACCAACCGTATATAATGTGACATTCCAAAAACCTTTCCAACATTTCTGTTTATCAAATTCATGCATAAGTGCATTAATAAAATCGTACTCATGTATTCGATGATTTTCATAAAATGCTTGTCTTTCTTCTGTAGATGGGATTCCATATAATCCAGCAATGTTATTAGCGAGACCCAAGAAAGTGATTAAGTAAAACGGATTATCAACTAAACTCTTCCAAACTGATGGCAAATCAAATGTAAGTTGTTGAATCCATGCTAAAGATCTTGAAACTAATAAAAGCTTTATATACAATGCTACTAAACCTAGAACCAAGAACGTTGGTCTAGCTATAACTGCGTAGAAAAGTTTATATATTAATGCTACTTGTGGTTCCCACTGCTTGTGATGAAATTGGAATTTAACTAAATCTGTTATCATATCTAATGATGGTGGTTCATGGAATTCATTCACGAATGCAGAAAGATTAAGAAAATGAATAAATTTGAAGAGAGAGAATTCCGAAATTTCTTGAATAATTTTAATCGTATTTTGGAACAATATTACTTTATTGAGAATGGAGTGAGAAATAATAAGCGTGAAGAAATTGCCAAAGACTGCAATCACTAGGGCCATGAGAAATGCAAATTCCAGCGTGAATCCAATTCCAGTTGCTGATCTTATGAATTCATCTCGAGTGTGTATACCAGATGTCACAAACATATTTGAAATTGGATCATTTTCGGGAAAGCCAATAACTAGTTCAAATTGCTTGACGATAAACACAATATTCAATAATAATTGTCCTAATAATAAGAATAATTTCAAGTAAGCAATTAATCCTAGTTTTGTGTTTATCAATTTATTTGCAAGTGAACTTAAATATTGTGTGGTCGTTGGAATTGGGGGTTGAAATTGAGCCCATGGAATTTGATTTTGGTTTAGATCCTTTTTAATCGCTCTATTTAGATTTTTAAACTCCTCTTTTGCATCCCAATATTCACGTTGTGATTGTGAATCTTCGAGATTTTTACATTTTGATATCCAAATGCAATAATCTTGCCAAAATTCTGTTAATTGGCGAGGCTTTACAGATGCTGAAGGTCCATTAGAAGCTTTTTGATAAATTTTTTGCAACTGTTCTTTAATCTCTTGGTCGTTTAACCATTTTTTAGGTATACTTTTGAAAGAAATATCGTTATGAAAGCTATGGGATGTATAGGAGGTTCTTCGGTATAGTGGCATAAGTATCCAATACAAATGTCCACATTGTCTGTGATTATAACTATAACTTCGATTTATTCGAGGCTTAGTTATCGAAATTGAACCTTGACCATTATTCATTTTGTTAAGTTTTTAATAGTGTAAGCAAAAAATGAATAAAAGAAATAAACTTTATTGACTGTTTTTTTTTTTAACTATACTTGAGAAATTTGTATACGCGACACCACATTTTCGTATATTTTCTTGCGGCATTATCCCTTTTGTACAACTTAAAACGGAATTAAAACATGCATGTCCAAATATGTAAAAAAAGATATTTTGTACTTTTATGAACTTCCATTTATCCAGCTCTGTTTTAATGAATTAACTTTAAAAGTGTATAATTGATCCAAAATGGCAATAAAGCTCTTGACGTTGTGCGCTATTACGTATCTGACTCCGCATTCCAAATTTTAAGACTTCAACTCTACTGCGTTAATGATAGTACTAATAGAGGCCAGAAAAAATTTACATATCGATATAGGTTAGGGATACGTACGCAAACTTGTGTAATTCAATTTCAGACCAACTATATACGTACATGGTTTGATAATTTCTACGTGTAACATTAATCAATTTGTATTCTTCATAAAAATAAAAGATATCTCGACAACTATTTGAATTCTATTAATTAGTAAAATTAAAGAAAAAAAGTTCATCGAATTTAGTTGGCTTTGTTGAGATCTTTTCGATTAAATTTTGAAAAACTTAAAAAAAGCTCAAATAAAAGTTGAGTCAAATTTTTTTAGGGCCTTGAGTGAAGATATTTCGAAACTACGTAACCAAATTCTATGAAAATTTTTTATATTAATTTTATAATTTGAATAAAAATTTTTCATCAAATTTAGTCAAGTAGTTATTTGTCAAGATATTTTGTTCAACATTTTTTTAAAAAAAATATTTATTAAAGTAAAAGCTAAGTTTTTTAGAATTTTGATAAAGATATTTTAAAAAATTATCCAATCAAATCCAATAAAAATTTTATTTGAATTTTATTAATTAGTAAATTTTGAATAAAAAATACAGCAGACCCCCTAAATGCAACCCCCTTAAATGCAGCACCTCTCTAAATACACGATAGGAGGCTAGCCCACAATGGAACTTATAGGTAAATGCATATTCTTTATTCTAATTGTTTGACCCATTTATAAAACTCACACTATAAATGCTTTGCTTTATGTGATTACTAGCCAATCAAATTTATTATTTCTATGCGATTAAAGGGAAAAATCTCCGGACACAGACTACCCAAAATCATAAAAATTTTTGGTAGTAACCGTATAAACCAATCATATTTTAAGATTAGGTGTAATGTAATACTAACATTACACGATCAGAAAAATTTAAAATAATTATTTTGTCAAAAATCGCTTATAAATCGAAAGTTTGCATAGGAAACCACTAATAAAAAGGTTTCTTTTGGCGATTTTTCTATATTTTTGCTAATCTCAAACCCCTAAATAGGTATTAATAATTTTAAAAACTTATATTACTACCAAAATTTTTAGAATTGTTCCGAATACAAAGTACGTATATATTTGATACTTCAGTTTTTCTTTTTGATATATTTAGATATATTTTAAAAAATTTTATACCTTTTTAATATATGTAAACAAACTCTATTAAAAAAATAATTGTATAATAAATTTTTGAAGTAATTTTTATTAGCTTGAATTATCTATATACTGTAATAACATTTAAGTTTAGTATATTTTAATATTTTTTTAAGAATTTAACTAAAACGCACCTATGGTGTTTTACATCTATATATATATTATCTTAAAAACTGGCTAATTAATTGGTATAAGATGTTCTAAATAAAAATATTCTATGTTTAAAAACCCTTCTCAAACCCTAATTCTAATCCTAATATTAACTTTAACATAAAAAATTGGAGTTAAAAATTTTATATACAAAACTTATAAAAACTTAGAAAATTTTAAAAAACATATAGTCAAATTTCTCTAAATGCATAATGTTGAGACCATAATAAAAAATTGAAAAAAAGTTGCATTTAAAGAGATTATATATTTAGGGTGGTAAAAATCTATAAGCATTATATTAGTTAGATCCAAGAAAAAACATGTATTTAGAGAGGTTTTTCATATATATGCATTTAGAAAGGTTGCATTTAGAAAGGTCTAACTGTAATAAAAATATATAATAAATGCAAAACTATCATAAGTATATTTTGTAATAATTGTTTTTTTTAATATTTTTTAATTTTAATTTAGTTATACAAATTTTTTAATAAAGATTATATAAAATTTTGTATAGTAATTTTTTTAAAATAATATTAAAGTTTTAAAATTTATTGCATTATATTGCATCTCTTCTGTTATTTAAAATTTTTTACTATAAAAACTACTTTTGAAGTTCTATGTAATAAAAAAATTTCTGTAAAATTTTAATATTACTTATATTTTTGATTTACAGTATTCTAAATCTTAACTTTAATCTTAACATTAATCAAAATTTATTTTTGGTTTGATAAATTTTTTTTAAACTAGTCTCTTTAGACTGAGGTTTTTATTCAAGTTATTTAAGTAAGAGGTTCACAACGGAGCCTTCTATTTTATTAGAGTACAACTAGCCATATATGCAACTTTTGGTTGCTTATTTAAATAGTTTGTGTATTAGTATTATACTGTAAAAATTATACTAGATGCTATACCTATAACCTAACTAAAAAATTATTTATTTAAACTCTCTGTAATATAAGCTACTTGTATTACTAATATATTTCTGTTACATTTGTTAGTTAAGAAGTCTTAGATGCTTTTTTTGTATCTTTAAAGCTGTTTTATTCTCGAGATATTATTATTAGAGCTTTTCATAATTATAATTCAGCTAATTTAGCTTTTAGTAACTTATGCTAAGTTTAAAAAAATATTTGTAAGCTGAAACTGCTACCTTTATCTACTTTTGTCTTTGTAGATTTCATAAAAACCTTAGAACCCATTTTATAGACTATTTACTATACTTTCAGTTTTTCCATCCTTCAGTTACCTGACAGCCTAATTGGTAAAGTGTTTTTGTCAAATACTTCAGTTCTGTTTAGTTTTTTAGTTTTTTAGATAATGATCTTTTATATAGTATTATTAAAAGTCTGTATTATCTTTTTATTTAGAATTTGCTAAGCAGGCTTCTGTATATACTAACACTCTAAATTTACTCAATTATATTAATATTTATAGCCTTTTAATACAAGCTGGTATGACCAAAATTACAGATATTAATTTATCAGATTATACACAGTTTGCTATAACTTATTCTGTAAATTTAAATTTCATCAGCAATAGGATTTAAATTCTTATTCTGCCATTTGGAGGTGCAACAATTTACCAACTTTACTAAGTCATCATACCTTTAATAATAATTTTTCATTATACAAAATTTGAAATCTTTATATAGTTATAATAGGTATACAATATATCAGTCATCTGATTTGTCACAAAATTTATATATTGAGTGATTTTATATATAAACTTATAGCAAAAATATATAGAATTATATATAAACTTTGTTGCAATGATGTTTCTTCCCTTATATAATAACTTTAAATTAAATTTTATAAATAAATACATCAAGAAGAGAAGAATAAAATGCTTTTGAAGCTGAATTAAAATTTTGTAATTTTTGTACAATTTAAA